AACAACAACACACCTATCGACGACACCTTGTCCATGAACATGGTATTGCGGTTTTGCAGGGTCCAGAGTTGAACATTGCGCGAGACACCATAGATGGACGTCCAACTTGTAGACACTGCGGTGTAGCGTTCATCAGTTGGCAAAATATGCGCTACCACATCCAATCCAGCTCCTGTCCTGGCATGAATTGCACCAAGGCTCCGCCTTTGATCTTGCAACAACACCGCCGTCGGCTGCTTGATATCTATGATGCTGGTGACCTTCAGCTGCTGAAAGAGGATGGCAATCTCTGCACCTTCCTCACCCACAGGTGTGTCCTTTGTGGCTACTGGGCTGCACGCACTCAGCAGATGAGTGCTCATGTTGGGCGGGATCACCCGGATGCCTCAGCCCTTATCAACAAGGTCATGCCCAACGTCACACGAGCACGTGTTCAATCTCCATGTGAATACTGCAAAAAGGACTTCAAGTCGAAGACACACACCTGTGCAGTAATGAAGCAGTTGGGCCTGGCACTTGGAGACCGCAGATTTAGACATGAACATCCAGAGGCACCAGATCCGCCTACAATGGCTGATCATAGATCTCAGGCCCAGTATCAGTGCACCTCTTGTGACTGTCAATTTGCCACGGCTGCTGGGCTTCATCAGCACTTGAGTATGCAACACCCACATACCACAGTTCAGACGACTTTCCAGCCTCTCCGTGATCAGGTTCCTGGTGAATTGAAGTGCAGTCACTGTGACCGGTCCTTCTCGACACTGAAGGCCTTGAAACTCCACATCATTGGCAATCAATGTGACACCTTCATCCAGGACACGGCTGAGGTACCATATCTCTGGCATCATCCGGTGATCTTGGCTGGACTCAGCGGTGGGACGTTTGATCATTTGATGGGGTACAAAAGTCTGGTTAGGCGACTGGGCCTCCGTTGTGGAATTTGTGGACACCTCTCCCAAAGCTCCACCTCACTCCTTCGACATTTGGGCACGGAGCATGGTGACCGCTGGGCTGAATTGACCAAGTATGCGGAATGGCTTCAAACCCATACTGCACTGGCTAGGTTGGGTTGCACGTGTACCAGACCACCTGGAGGACAACATGTTTGTACATTGTTCTCTCACCTGGCCCTATTTGCGCACCACGACCTTCACAAGTTCAGACACTCTGATCCAGACACCAAGCTCACTCAGGCATTGAAGCTGGACCTGACTGTCCTGTGCCCTTCACTGCACCTCCTATGGCCGGAGCTGGATGATTGGCTGGTCACTGGCGAGCTTGCGAAACTCATCAGCACTCCAGACTTGTGCGCCGCTCTTGGGCAATGCTGTGCACTGTGTGGTCGATCAGTGGGGGCTCATGACATGTTCCTACATCTCCGACACCAACATCCCACGGATTGCACCAGGGGGGCACTATACTATAGATATCTCCTGGACATGACACCCCACCTGCACCAGTGCTCGGTTTGCAACTTGCACTTGACTGCAGCCCATGAGTGCCCGATCTTGCTTCAGTTAGCAGGTCTGCTCTGTCGACTTCATCATGGACATCGAGGACCGGGATCAGGACCCAAGTCAAATCCAGCAGATGTGGGGCGTCCTCAAGACCTTGGCTTCCACCAAGGACGAACCAGACGACTCCCAGCCCCAATCCAAGAGACAGAAAGCAGAACACCGGCCTACCAAAGGCAAGGGAAAAGGCAAAAATCGCCGGACACCACAGCAGAGCAGCCAAACCGACGATCTCAGGCAAATCGTCCAGACCCTTGCTCGACTATCACTTCGACACGAAGACGCGTTGAGAGGTTTAGCCATGGAGCAGGACTACATGCTTTTTTTGAGCCTCGGTCCAGGGAGCATCATGTTCAAGATGATGCAAGCCACGGAGGAATGGCATCTCACCGAGCCCCAGGACCGCACGATGCCCTTGAGGATCAAGGTCCTGAGAGTCATGCTGGAGGAGTTGCTGACGAGAGTCCGCAAACTTCAGACCGCTCGACAAGAAGACGACTTGGTCCAGACTTTGCTCAAGTTTCACTACTTGACTCCGGGGGAGAACAGCAACGAACTCCGCTTCTCCTTCCTGCAGTGGAACCCGACACAAAAAGCTCTGGAAATAGACACGAACAGAACAGCATTGACGATGCCGTACGTGGCCAACCAGATCACCAAGATATTGACCTTGCTACAGCAACAGGCACTGATCATCAGGTTCGGGGCCCTTCGCCCCAATGCCCAGATTCAGCAGAACATGAACAAGGAGCAAACATCGACTCCTCAGGTGATCCCATGGAGGCTATCACTTGCTCTCTCTCACAGACACTCCATGGAGATGCACTCCGTATGGCAGGAGATGACACACTCCGGCGCTTGGCAGCTGATCTTGGGAAGGATGAGGCAGGCCAACTTACAGCGAACTCCACTAGCCTCTCACTTGGGGAGGCTACTCGAGACCATGTGATCACAGAAGACGGCAAGTACCTCAGGGGACTGAGCAATCCCCAAAACTGCTGCTACATGAACGCTACAGTTCAAGGATTGCTATGGGGTGCCATCCAACAGGGACCTCTACAGGACAGCCAATGGGAGATTCTGCCTGAAGTGTTTGGTCAGCTACTTACTGACGCTCCAGCTGAGCCGATGCTTTTATGGTCCAATGGACCTTGGCTGACACTCCTTCAGTCCTGGGACAAACCGTTTGAACAGCATGACTTGGTTGATTTTGCACACTTCCTTTTGTCCCAGGTGTCACCGTGCTTTGCTAGCAATCTCTGGGAAGCCAGGGTTGACGCTGATGCCCAGGTGCGTACGGTGGACGGCGGATCTCACCACTGTCCTGTGAGGCTCTACTTGAGCGATGGCTCGAAAAGAGATGAAACCGCGCTGCAGGATTTGATCACCACATGGAGCCTTGAGTCCTATGGCCTTCAGGCTTTATCAGGAGTCTCTGACATGCTGTGCCTCCAGATCGACCGGTTCGACCAATCTGGAAACAAGTGCTTTCGGAAGCTGGTTTGGTCCTCCCCGGTATTCCTTCCGTATTTCACTGGAGCCACCATGGAGGTAGACAAAGTTCCTTTTGAGGTGACGGCAGTCTCTTTTCATTTGGGTGATGATTCTAGCTCTGGTCACTACAGAACTGCACTATGGGACGGGGAAGTCTGGTATCTATTGGACGATGATGCGCCCCCTGCTGCCACACCTGTCCTGCCTGACAAAATCCTAAGGAACTGCTGTCTCCTCTGGTTGAACAGCAAGAATGGAGGGGCCATGGAGATTGATGTCGAGCTCCCCACGGAGGCTGCTGGCTCTCCAACTCCCCTGAGCAGGGATCAGATGATGATGAACCTGAAGCATGCCTTTTCGGCTGGTCGTCCTTGGCAGGCCACTTGGCTTTCGTCGATCGATCGTCTCGATGTGGGTTTTCTTTTGGAATGGCCGGACGTATGCCGATACCTCGTCTTCAATTGCGCGCTGTGCAGCCTGCGCCCACCCAACCTGTTGAACCACCTCAAGCTGCACCATGCGGCCTGGTTTGCTGCTGCAGTGCCGCTGACTGAAGATTTGATGAGAGGCTTTCTGACGAAGGCATTGCCAGGTCGAATCTGTGCATGCCACCCGTACTATGCTAGGACTGAGCAGCAGGATGAGCACGTATGTCCGTGCCTGCTCAATTTTGGATTGCTCCACTGCTTCCTCCGAGCTACACAGGTAGCCAATGCACAAAACACGCTTGCGCTACAGCTTGAGAGGTCGTTCAGTTGACCCCCACGGGGGGATGTGCAGACCTGGAACAAAGAGGTCAACGCTACCTCATGAAGCTGAGGGCGTCGTGAAAGAAAGATGATGATGATGATGATGATGATGATGATGGGTTAAAAAATACCAAATGCTGACGAAAAACATCTTCCCAGTCCCAAACATCATGTTTCCCATATGCTCTCCTTTTCCTGTTCTTTTTCCCAAACCGCGCGCAAGATCCGTTAAGAGCTCTCCCAGAGAAACGCGCCGTGCCGACGCTCCCGTGGACCGTGACCATGTGCCCGACCCTTCACCGAGCTCCCCAAACGCTCACGCATGGCATGCTTGATCTGATGACCTCGGATGGTGCAGCTTGGGACTTGGGAGTGCTCAAACAAAGTAGCTTGGGATTTGGGGCATTTTACGAAATGAGTTAAACCGTTAACCTCGGGGATTCCCCGGGCCAAAAGTCAGAATCACCCGATCAAGACCAGGGTAGAGGAGCACCCAGCTGGGTGACTGGTGAAAGGAGCTGCTTGTAGAGGCTCGGAGACATACTTCTCAGTCGACATGTCGCCTGTGTCGTTGTCGCCAATGCAAAGCCGACCCACCGCGGTCCAGCACTGGTCCTTGACAGGTCTGAGATCCATGCTTCTCTGACGATCCTGGCGAGGCCATGGGACAACGTCTCGTGCCAAACGCGAAAATGTGGCAAGTACACAATGATGTAGACTGTTGATGACTTCCAGAATGGTGAAAACACCTCCAGGCGACAGGGGGGAGTTATTCATCAACACTCCTACATTTTTTCTGGCTGTCTTCGATCGTAAGGTGCATGGGTGCAGTTCTCCCAGCAAGACGAGGATCCTCCGACACCCCTGTGCGGCTCCGTCGGGCCCCGGGAGCCACAGTCGGAGAGAACCGCACGGCACGGTCCTCTTGGCTTCGTTGAACTTCATCACTGATCACCTCCTGGTCGAAGATCGCTAAGACCTGGGAGGTGTCTCCGGTGTTGGACCTCGGATTAACTCACTGAGAAGTGAGATGAACCCGATGTAGCTGAGCCAAAGGGGGTTCTTGTTTGTTGAGGCTCACAAGAAGATTTCGGGGCCACAGACTGCTGCTTGGAGATCCAGCCCCTGGCTAAAGGAGCTTCATTGAGCTAGAGGAATGCTCACGGTACACAACCTCAAGAGGTATGAACCTTGCTTCATACCACAAACTGCACGTCGAACGATCCACCCGCTGCGATTCCGGTTTCGTCTCCAAACTGCACAGCGGGCGATTCGACGAACGAAGACGAAAATAAACCGACTTGCTTGTGGTCGAGCGCAAGGACTATACAAGATGACAAGTATTTTGGAGGTTCGAATACTTGGCAGTTCGGCCCGGAAACAGGGCTCGCTCCCCTGTTTCTGAGCTGCCACAATTCTACTGTACTTGCAGGAAGGCCTGTCGCCCATCCACCCGAACCACCTGGCCCACCATTTGAAGTTGCCTTGGAGGGTCAGGTGGGGCAGAGGCGGTGAGAGGAGCACTCAAGGGATCGCCCACATAGTCCACCTGCAGAGCCTCTTGCATAGCAGCACATGGAATGCAATAGCACCAGATGCACGCATCTTCCGTGATGCTGAGACAAGTGCTGTGGAGCATGCCGTACTTCTGGCGCAAGTGTTGGCGATGCCGCACCAGAACCCACTTGTGGCCCAAAAGCACAAGCAGGCACAGAAGTGGACTCAAGACCCTTAGGAGGCCACCGAAGAAGAAGAACCCGCTTGTAAGGAATACAAATTGCCAAAAGGTAAAGGCCCAAAAGTTGCTTTTGGGCGAACTGGCCGTGGCAGACCAAAGGGACCAGGGACACCAAATTGCCCAGCACGAGGTTTCCCAGCTATGGCAACACTCACAAAGGCCATAGTCGAAGCCGCTGCCGCCCGAAGGGCGGATCTCTGAAGGTGAGGGTGGGCGTCTAGTACAACTGTGATAGATGAGCCCCCCAATCAGCACTTCTACAGCAATCAAACACAGCTGTAGGCCCCCAACCAGTCCTTTCACTGCCTGAATCAGTGCCTGCTGCTCCTGCGGATCGAGATCATCTCCTGTCAGTCGTATGTGAACCTGGGTGTGCGGCCAACGTTGGACCCCGCCATCTCCAAACGTACCGGGCAAGGTGGCCAGCCACACGATCACGCCATAGCTCAGGAGCCGTGCCGGCATGTTCCAGATCTGAAAACCTTGGGCCTGGGCTTTGCAAGTCAGGCTTGTACATCCGACCCGCCAACGATCATGCCTGTCGGGTTAACGATCATGCCTCTGGGCCATGCAAAGACTCACCACCGCACTCGCGGACAAAAAAGATGTATAGAAATGAGAGCTGAGGCAGGTGACATGCGAAGAGTACTCCCTTCCTGACCAACATGGAAACCACCTGAAAGACCTCAAGTCAACCTCGGTCAACTTGTGTTAGTGTTTTTTGATGCCAGCTTGAATGCAGTCCAAGGCCAGGTAGCGTGCTCAACATCTCGAAACGACGTGCATTTCACATGTCCAACTGGTCGACTGCACTTTATGGCTGTGCGATGTGATGTGGCACAGGGCGCTGCGGTGGTGATATGGAATTGCATGCGGCAGAATGCAGCGATTGTGATATGGTAGTAGTAATGCCAGGAGCTACTAGTAGCTTCCTGCTGCTGGTAGTAATGTGTTGTGTGATGAAATGATGTGTAGTGCATTGTGAAGTGGTGAAGTGTATTGTGGTCAGTCGCAATGTAGCATGTGGCAAAGTGCTGTGTGGTGATTGTTATCGAAATCACTACTTATATGTAGTGACCAAACACACAAGTGATCACTGTGTAGTGCAATAAAAGTGGTGTATAGTCTAGGGAAACAATGTATTGTTTTGTTATGTCATTGTGGTGTCTGGTAATTGTGTTCATCCATTTTCTGGACCTTGACACTTTCTTGAAATCTCTACGTTCATCTCACCGTAGTGCTCTTACTCGGAATCTCTGCAGTTCCGGCCCTTACTTTCTCAAACTCGACCCGGCTTGAAATCTCTACCTCGACAAATCTCTACGTTTTTCTGCTTTGCGTCCAAAAACTTTACCCCATCAAAACCCTTCCACACTCCCAAAACTCTCTCAGCTAATATATCTTTTGTGTAACTTGATGACTTGACATCTGTCTTGCTGCGGAATGTGCTGCTTCTCATCTCCCCGAAACTCTTCTCGAAAATTCTGAGCCGGACCACCCGAGGGACGTTGCTCCCACCCGAGCCCCAGACGCGCAGGAAGAAGTCCACCAGGGGAAGCCTGGATGGGCTTTCAATTGGGTCAAGAATCATGGTCTGGCTACGTCTGGAGTGGATGTTGGGGCCTCGGACGCCTCGCTTTGAGTCATTTGTCTGAACCTACGTCGGCGTACCCACCCAGACGCTAGCCACCCAGTTGTCTGCCTCTTTAGCCACTTGAAAGGAGCTCGCTACGCCGATAACGTGGACCTAGCATGATAGTCCACTAGAGGAAGCATATCAAGCCACAACAAAAGTTGTCCACCTCAAAACTATTGGTAGAACTCCCTCAGACTCTGGATGAAAGGAGAGAGAAAAGGAGAGAGAAAAGGAGAGAGAGAGAGAGAGGGAGAGAGAGAGAGAGAGTGACATCTCCAGCCCCAAACTCCGAAGGAGGCTTCTTGCAGGGTCAAGGCCTTTACTCTTTCTCAAAAGTCCAGTCAGAAAGAACTTCTCGTGGCTTCAGTGAAGCTGAAGACAAGTAGTATGCCCAGACTATTCTGGAATAATATGGACTGCATAGTTGTCATGGGTAGTAATTAACATGGTAGATGGAGTATACATGAGGTAATTGGGTGGAATCTTATGGATCCTGTCAAACATTCAATCATTGTCCCTAGGCCTTACTTACTCGCGCGACCGACGCATCACAGTCGAGTCCAGTGACGCGTCACGGCACTGAGCAGTCCCGACCCTTGCTCCATCAGTCCAATCAACTCCTCATAGGGAAAGCATGGCTCTCAGAAAGCGCGGCTCGACTTGCGGCTCGGTGGGGATGTAGAGTGACAAGTTGGTTTTGCGGATGTTCCGTACCAAAACGATGCTTCGCCTCAAGTTCCGTCAAGTTCCGTTTGAAAACTTACAGTATGCAATCCTTAGCCTGCAGCACTGCAAGAGAATTGGTTGGAAATTGATAGAAGTTAAGAGTTGCTGCACATTCACCTTATGGTGATCAATGAACCCCACAGCAAGGTCAAACCCGTTCTCAGCTCACATAGCAAAGAAACAATGTTAATTCCCCAAACCAGCATACCCTTATAAAAGGAAAGAACCTCTGGGATTTCACAATTGGCGGAGGTTCGTCAGTTGCCTGGCATGTCATGATGACCTTTAAATTGGATCAAAGGGAGCCCCTAATGCAGCGTCACGAGACCTCTGCTTGGTCTGTGACTTCCAACGGTTCAGAGTTGTGTTAGGTTCTGTGATTCCGGTTCCAAGTGGTTTTCAACCGGGCTACACTCCTTGAAGCAATCGGCCCCTTGGACGACCAGTTTCCTCTGCAAACAGGTCACCACGATTCTTTCAAGGAGTGTACCAGGTCATATGGGTTTGATTCGGTTGGTTCCAAAACACTAACTTTTCATTCATAAACTCCCGCATTTTTGTTTGGAGATGTTGACAAATCTTTAGAGAGGGGGGTTGATTCATCAACACTGAACACTTAGGCTTTATGACCTTCACGACGCATTTCAACTGTTCAACTGCGATATTCCGCAAGGCTGGAACTCAAGCCTACAAACCCTCGAGCATCTAATCCGGCTGTCCTGCCATGCCGAAGGCCAGTTGCCAGGATAGTCGAATCTCACCAAGCCGGCCTCACTTTCTTCGAGAACTCGATGCCGGACGTGTCTGAAGCAACTGTCATGTCGCAGCCTCTACCAAACCAAAACACATCGGATTCCTCCAAACTGGACGCTCTCGACACCTGCACGAACAGTGGGAAGCAGAGGCCACCGTTCTCGACAGGTCCAGAGAGCCATCGGTGAAGCGGGAGGAAGGGTCACAAAGACAATCTTCCTGAATCGTTTCGTTTTGGCAATCTTCCTCAGCCTGCCACATAGATGAGAGCAATCTTGTTCTTCACCACCACTTCCTCCCAGCTTTCATGGGGCGGCAATTGCCCCACTCGGAGCGTCCCAAAAAGCTGTCGCCAAACCCGTCGCCGTTGTTCGAGGGGCTCCGGTCAACGGGGGTGGTGACACCGCTCCGCCATGCCACGGCGGCGTCCTCCTGCTTGGTGGCGGCCACCTCTCGAAGCCAGGAGAGCCTCCGAAGCGAACGCAGAGCCGGTGGCGATGGTCGTTCGGATCCACTCACGTGTCAAACACTCCTGGAACAAAATTGTTATTATTGATACCCGGAGACCAAGCATGACCTTAATAGGAAAAAAAACATATTTTGGGTGGTTGGTGCAGTTGGTGATCCAAAATAAAGCTCACTCGTTGGTTCGAAAACACAAGTTACCGGTGGATCCGAGTTACGGGTTCATTCGGTCACCGTCAGTGGTGAACTCCAACCAGGAGTTCCAACTTGTGGCGGTTCACAGATCCACGAGTGGCAAGATGGACACCCAAACAGATCTTTTCGAACAGGACCCAAGACTCCAAGTACAGTTCGAACATGGAAAACCAGGGAATTGACTGGACTGTTTGAGTCCTTCATCTTCCGTCTGCAGGCCACATGCCATCTAGCCATTCGAGCTTGCTCGGCAGGTTTCTTCGGTGAATCAAAGCCCTTGCCACGATCCTCGTAGGCTCGCCATGGCAACACCATGAGCTGAATTGCAATGGGTGGCACGATCTGGAGCTTTACCAAGACCCAGCTCTATACCGATATGGGTGTGTATTAGAATAGGGAGGACCTTGCAGGCAACGACCCCCTGGAAGAAGGGAAACAGGCCACCCGGCCACCCATTGGGCCAAGGGGTCTGCCTATTAGAACACCTTGGCCCAATGGGATCGATACCTTTTCACCATTTTGGTGTCCAAGAACCCATCGAAGCATGGTAACACCCAAGACCTGTCACTGTCGGCGACCGCTTTGCTGTTTGGGACACCAAAAAGGCTGGAACTCCACGGGGGCACGAGAGTCTTGCCACGTTTTGAGTTGCCCCGACACTTTGCTCCGGAGCTCCAGCCGCGCATCCTGCGGTAAAGACCTCGCAGGGCGGGTTCTGCCCACATCCGCACGAAAAAGGGGCGATGTCGCGACACAGAAAGCGAACCCAGGGGGGCCTTTGGGGCGGTAGATGGGGGATGATACAAAGAAGAAAATAGACTGGACCATTCGTGGATGTGGATGTCTCACGCAGTCAAGTGGTTGGAGTTTGCTAGGTCTGACTTTGGCAAGGAATGGTGATCAGGTACGCCGAAACAAACCACCCTCTTCAGAAGGTCCAAAGACCATTTCATTTTGAGAATCTGGCCTTCGTTTCACACCAAGAAAACTTAAAGGCACCGGGCCATGAGCTTTCGCAGCCTCCAGATACCTTCCATTAAAACACGGTTCAAGAACATCTTCATCTGGTGACTGTCCTGGGCCATAGGGGTCCCCAAGAACACGCAGCCGCCTTGGCCGACCCATCGCATGACCCACATTGCGCCATCTGGTTGATCTAGGCTTTCCTGCAGCATCGAGTGGAGAATCACCTCAAACGGAAACTCAACCGGAACTCGACTGCGGATGAGGAGCTTCTGGATCGAACTCCACCTGGTACGGCGGAGAATGTTCACCTGTCAACACTGGAAGTGCTCGTGGTCCGGGGGGCTTCTGACGGGCCAGAAGAATCGTTTTGTGATGGCGTCCCCCGGCATGACCCGGAGTTTGGTGACAGCTCCATTGAGGACTTTCAGGGACATCATCCCTGTAGAATTCTAAGGGAATCGTGTCAACCTGAATCTGGAATACAAGAATCTGGGTGAGGACTGAAGAGTACCCAATGCGTGTCCCACTACCACGAGTGATTGGTGGACCGAACAATAGTGGCTTTAGAGTCTCAGAGTTGATGGCGCTGGCACCCTAAGATGTCTTTGAGATAGGCGTTCCATACAAACCACCAAACTTGGGGATTGTGCAATCGAACCTCTGAAACCTCCGGAAGCGTTCCCTCTCGGATGCCCAGCTTGGAGGCACCAAAACTTCACCTGGCACGATGGATTCGCATTTGACGGTCATTTTCGCTGTGGAGCCGAACACCCTGGCAAAGACCAGAAATTGATCAGGAATCCAAAGAAGGCCAAATTTCAACACCTCATGAGTCCAAACATTGTTTTGTTCACTCTTGTTGTTGGTGCTGTACATGATTCGCTGTGGTCATATTTGTTGCCTCTTGGTGCTGTACAAGGCAACACCCTCTCCCGGACTGCAGGTGTCCTACAGAAGGTCGAGCGACTCTTTCACGTTCACGAAAATACGCCCGCACGATGGGGCTGAGGCGTTAAACTTTGACTCTGCGCGCATCGCTATATACCTTTAGCTAGGGCAGGGCATGTTCGTTTGGGAACGAAAATACATATTCTGCATCATGAGCTGTGTCTGGGAAAGGAGTGGGATTCGTAGAAAACAATGAAAAACAGTTTGGTTTCACATATCATCTGTATATGTTTGACTATATGCGACTCCTCTCAAAAGTCTAAGTCTTACATTAAATCATCTTTCATGACTGCATCATTTGCATCAGCTGGTTGCAACTGTATAGTTACGGTAGCCTGTGCGTCAGCTGG